ATCGTTAACGCTTGCTCCTTGGGGAGAGGAAAAGGTCAGGGATGAGGCGCCTTTTCCCCGGTTGATGACATTTCGGAATAATCCCAAACGGACTGGTTTGAGAGAGGTAGTGGGGGGTAAGGGTAAAGACCAGCCACCCAGGTGTGAGCGACATCCGCCGAGGGATTTTTGTCGATCACGTCCGGGTGTTGAGACGCCGACTTGAGATTGCGGAGCGACGGACGAAGGACCACACGCTCTGGAACGAAACCCACACGGAAACGGTTGCGAATGCCCGCCAGCACATACTCCTAGGGGGGACTAGGATACTCCCGGAGCCCATGCACAGATGCTTCGAGAATGAGAGAGGGCAAATAGCGCCGATCGTGAACGAGGATAAGGGGAGTGGGGTAGGTCCTAAAAAAGATCAGGGATGAGAGATACGTAGCTCCCCCCCCCCCCGACCGAAAATAAAAACACTCCAACACAAAACGGGTTACAAGACAATATTATTGGCTAATGGTAGACTAAAGAGACTAGACTACAAAACGTATGTTTGTATGTATTGGCTTAACCACACGACCATTCTATCAGTCCAGAAAAAACAATGGTGCCGACGAATGAAACTCACGAACAACACGACCGACGCCACGCTGAATAAATATCATACTGCGGAGATCGACAACGTAACAGAAAAAGTAACAATATAAACGTTTTGAGAAAAAAGGAGACGCGCTTACGATGTCCTCTGCGTGTGACTGGGTAGTTACCGCAGCGACGTTAAAAGGACAAGAAATACGTCTATGCGACCCCCACATGCCAAACGATCACACGCATGACGATATCGACACTGCCTGCCAAAGACAATGCAACGCCCACTGTTCCAGGACCTCCAAAAAACGACGACGAAGGGTACTGGAACCCGCATGCTGAACGCGACTCGGGGAACGCGGAACACGAACCGCGGCGGTGTGGATGTTAAATGGCTCCATGTGCATGTTTGATCAATCAGACAAACCCCGGCGGCGGCGTCGTGGCGAAAAGCCTCGTCGTAACTGCGCCAGGCGTCCCCCCCCCCCCTCTGTATTGCGAATTCGTACGCAAAATCAGTAGTTCGTACAAAAGCAAGTCACGAGCACGGTGGGGGAACCAGGTAATCTGTTTGGTCTTCCGGGCCGGGGGAGGGGGAGTAATTATTAACCGGCCGTCGAACGACATGGTAGGGATGGACGATTCGTCAGTTGGCGGGGACAGAAGGGCTGCCAGATCAATGCAAAGGCCCGACGCTATTGCCGTAACCAGTTTGTGGGGAACGGGGTTGAAACCGGGGCCCACCACCATGGCGTTATCAAAACGACTGTGAGGGGAAAGTTGGACAGGAGGTACGTGCCCCCGGGTAATTAGACATGAACGGCGAAACAAAGTAAGGGATACCTGACCGTTGCACTTGAGCTGTTGAACCGCCAGGCGGACCATACGGAGTCGGGGAGGAGGAATGGGTAGGAAGAGGGATGGACGGCAGCATTAGCCTGCCCCGAGAACGGTTGCTGGGGCCAAGATGTTCCGGGTGGATCGAGGGACAACCGCCCTGGAGGCTGACCATCGATTGGGTCTTGCTGAATTGGCTGAGGAGTCTGAGTGAGGTGCTGTGAACCAAGGTGGGAGGCCAGGGATGCCGGAGGACAACCATAGCCGACCGCGCTCTGCGAAGGGCTTGGAAACAACACGCTCGGAAATCCAACATGGCGGCCATCTGATGTCGGGAATGTAGAAGGAGACGATAAATTCAAACCCAAACGAGACAGGAAAGGCAAAGTTGACAATAAACTAACGTTCCACGATGACATAGTAATTGGCAATGATCTTGTAGACGAAACTGCTGCGCCATAAGATGAATAAACTGGAGCTAAAGTACTGTTATTTTCAGCGATCGAGTAAACGATATTATCTGACGAATTCTGCAACGATTGGGATACTTCTGGCACAGGCGAAAAGGAAACAAACGCCATTGAGTCAACGTTTGAAATAGATGATCCAGATTCACGAGGAATTAAACGAGGCATCAGTGATGCTTGAAATGTTTTGAACGATTAAATGTCACGACTGAGAATGAGCTACTGGCATAAACAACTTATATAAAGTAGGTTATGCAAATGCCCTCATTAGCATTTGCCAAGCTGTCCCCGGGGCCCCCTATTCTGATAACAAGTACAACAACTCAGCTCGTTCTTAATATAATTTATTTCATAAATCCAATTAATTGAGTACAATCAGACAGGTGTGATTTTCTCTGTATCAAGATTAATATTTATTTTGCAAGTTCCACAACAAGGAGACATGTTGTTGGTTTACTGAGGTATTTAATATAATTTTTTTATGATCCAACACAATAATTCTGTAGTCATTGTATGCCCCACTGAACGTCTACCTTATCGCCGACTAGAAATCGCCGAAAATAAATTTTAAATCTCCGCAGTTTACAGTATTACTTACTCACATCAATATTGATATTAAACACCATACATGACTGTAGGCCATCATAATACATAATTCCTATTAATGCCTTCATTTGAGGATTGAAAGCAACCTATCCTGTGATGTTAACCCTGTTTTTATATGAATTGCATAAAAAGGCGGAACCTAATTACGGTCACACTTAGTGTACATGAAAAGGCTGGAGGCTAAAAAGACAAGGATATCCGACCCTACCTGATTATTATTATTTTACGAACATATACTTGATATTTTACTTCCGTTTGGAGCTCACTTGAATTCGAAATTAATTTAGGAGCGCTTGAGCAAAACGACCTAGAGTATGCATCGTTCGTTTTGAGTGCATCGGGTTGATTTTGCACAGTAACTTTGGGAAACAGAAGTCCTCAAAATATCATATTCAACTTTTCGGCACTTTTTGACCGAAATCTATTATATATAGAAACTTATTAACTGCATTATAGGAGAACGGTTTGCCCTTTCAAACAATTCTTGCAACGTTGGAAATTGAAAATAATTAATTATGCAATGTTATAATCAATCCAAAAGCAAAGCGAGCCTGCTGCAAGCTATTTGTTTCGTGAAACGTTTGATTACGAATGTTCTCTGTTCATGCAGTGGTTAATTGAACCATGTTTAAAGGACGTTCTTATTGTCTCACTAAGACGAAGATTGAAGAGTTGGGCTCATTTTAGATCATTTAACATTCAATTTTAATTCCCTATTGGGAATTGTCTTGAAAGAATGTGATTTCGACAGGCAATTTTTATTGCATGGCTTTGTTTAAAAAGGTATCATAGAAAAGCTAAATAACATCTCTTTCGTCCTATGTAAAAATTGAATTGTTTAGTCAAGCTTATGATGCACGACAGCCTGATGAATTACCATAGCCTTTTTTAGACACGTATACCCTGTACAGGGTGTATCAAAAAAAGCGCAACCTCGGAATTTCCCAAGAAATCGACATTGTTTTAAAGACAAAAGATTTTAGGCGCCTGGGAATTTAAAGCAGCATAACTGTCAAAATTACTGCACACGCGAGTGCATAAAGCAAAATTTATGCATTTATTTAATGCACAACAACAGTAATATGATCTATTAGCAATTCGATTTCAATTCCCAGGGGCGTAAAATCTTTTATGCTTAAGAATTACTTTGGAAATTACTTAGGAAATTCCGAGGTTGCGTTTTTTTTTATACACCATGTATATTTCGGCCATCATGCAATTGAATTAATTAATATCCGGGTTTCCCCCGATTATTCCTAGTAATATTACGCTATGCTTCTTCGATCCAATCACATTCTCGTAGATTAAGTCGTGAGGTACATATTATACGATACAGGCCTACAATCTATTTACGATTGAGTAAAATAGATCAATTTCGCCTTATATTCTCGTCAAATACAGTAAACATGGATGCAAGAGACTCAGAATTGGTATGTGAAAATATAATTAATTTGTTCCATTTCGTTGACCAAAACAAGCATTATTTTGAAATTTACATAGAGAAATACCTGATTTATTTCGAGTGTTGAACATGGTATCTCACTCGTTCGCTCAAGCACCACGTATTTTTCTGTTTATTATATAAAGAACAGTCTTTGAAACGCGATAATTTTTACAGAAAAGCCATAATTGAAAAGCGATAATTTTCACATGTGAGATTATTATGAATAATTTCACATGTGTATTATCACTTTTATCAGTGCTCGAAATCTCTATAAAGCACTATACTTTATATAATAAATGATAATATTTCTAGCTTATCTATTCAACATGATTCTACATTGCCATTGCTGTTTCCTTTTAATGTAGAATATAATCCACGAACTACTGTTGTTTACTTTATATATGCACATATATATCGTGGTTGTATGAGTCGAGAAAATTCGACAACATTCAGCATTACTCGAAAGTTAATTATGACTTGGAAATCCTGCATTAAGTCGGATTAAATTCGTCAGATGAATTGTAAAAATGGTTTAGATAATTTCTTGGTCAAGAGCGTTAGATTCCATACAGGATGTACTCTGCGTTTGCGGAGGCGTCTCGCTCTGTCAAACTAAATCACTTAGGCACGCCGACAGGTTTTTTAGATTGTCAAACTCATTGTATTATCATATACGAAACACTTCGAATTAGCGACGCAATGCGGAATAAATGTTTGTCAAGCATGGCGTGTTAATTGTACTGTCTTCTCCGGTCAATCAAAGGTAAGATTAATCTGCCGGACTGTTCGCCGCAAACTTAGCTGAATTTGGTATTATAAAACGTAAATGGAAATTTGGTCATTATGCCGGCCTTCCAAATTTGCGATTTTTCGCATTTTGCTCCAGCATGTGACATCATTAATGACGACCAAAATCAATATGGCGTATAAAACTTATAGTGATAACTGAGCCAGTGAAGGAAATTAGTTGGTTTCGCAAATAACCAAAAGACTGAATGATCAACTATAAATCTATCTTCTACCGAGACATCAAATGCAAAAAGAGCAGGATAATTTTTAGTTGAAGAAACGACCAGCTTGCTGCGGCAAGAAACACTGAAAACACTATTAGCTATGTCACGCTTTTTGAAAGCTGTATTTCAATGAAAAAAACGCCTTCAATATTAATTTTTATCAACATATGATGTCGCTGTTCACACGCTGATGAGACAGCAACTCCGATACTTCTTCTTAGAAATATCAGACATAACGTATACTAGTACTGTTCGAAATTGTGCATACTTATTGAAAATATCAGACAGTGAAGAGGTGCGGAAAATACCGAGCGGAGGTCTTGTTGTATTGGCCGAGCGATAGCGTGATCCGATACATGCAGCAAGTATGAGGTTTAGCTATTTACACCCGGGGAAACGAAAGCATTAGCGAAGTCTAAAGTTCATCAATGAGCGCGGGCGTCGGTCACCAACGATGGGTGGTCATCCTCAC